ATCTTGCCCCGCCATCTTGTCTACGAAGGCTCGTGAAGGACAAACTGCAGTGGCGGCGTCAAAAACGGTTTTAGGTGTAATATTATACATGTAATATTTGTTGTCTGTCAAGCTGTGTTTACATGGACAAAAGTAATTGGATTAAACAGCCGTTTGGAATAAAAATGCGTCATGTAAACAGCCCGTTCCGATAATTTTGATCCGATTGAGCTCGATCCGAATGAATTTTTAATCCGAATGAAAAGGGTGGGTTATGCCTATTGATAATCGGAATGAGGTTCATATAAACACTTAATCTGATCATCTTAATCTGATTGTAGTAAACTGACCTGTGCGCATGTCTGCTGACTTTCATTCACCCGGTGGGACAGCAGCGCTCCAGCTGCGCAGCACCGTGCAGAACTTTTCCTCCTTGCTCTCTTAACAGATGAAAAAGGAGGCAAACAGCAGACGTTGCTTCGCAAAAAATAAAAATAAAAAGCACGTATTGCTTCATCTGCAGGCTGCAGCTCAACCGAGGAGTAACGGCGTCTCTACCATTATTAAAAGCTGACACGGGTCCGTCCTGAGCGCACAGAGGAGCTTTATTTACGTTTGTAACACGGAAGTAGAGCTGAACATTTACAACACTGCACATGTCCGGACTTTTATTCTGAATAAAACTCCGGTGCATGTAAACACTTTTCATGATCGGATTGTGTCCATGTAAACAGTACATTYGGATTATTTAATCTGAATACATTTCAATCCGATTAAAAAATTTTGTGCATGTAAACATAGCTGGTATAATTTTACCTATTAAAGCTCATAATCTTACCATTTGAAACATCACTAGCCCTGAAGCTGCTGGTTGACATCGTGGTTGGGATTATCAAAGGTTTTTGACACCTGAGAGACACCGTAACATTTGGAAGCAGGGGGTGGGGGTAGGGGGAGGACCAGGGAGGATGATTCAACCACTCAAACACAAGATGTCGCTGAAAACAACAAATCCTACACACTGTGCCTTTAAGTAGATAATTTAGTTTTAAATACTTTGAATTAAATAAAACTTAAGCAAAACATTATGTTCTGTTTGATTTACTTTAAAGAAGCGAGGAGTAGGGAGATGAACATAATGTTTTTGTGATACTGAGACTGGACAAGTAGATCTCGGCAGCCGGTTCTGACRTTATCAGTCCATTCTATGGGATGGAGAACCCACTAGAAGCCACAGTCKGRACATTCTGAAGCCATTCTTTGGGACTAATATTGACTTTTAATGTCCATTTAATGGATGATAACATCCGAGTGATCTCGGCAAAAATGCTGACTTCAAAAGTAGATCTTGGTTCAATATTTTGAACCATTTGAATATATTTTGTTGGGCATCCCTGCTCTACATCCATCTGTGACAGTGGACAATGGTGATAGATTCAAGTTCTATCTTGATTGTA